AGGGGATTTTCTTTATTTTGTATATTGCTGCTGCTTTTGGTGGTACCGGCTTTTGTGCTTGCTAGGCACTTCCAGCCCTATATGTGCTGGTTATTTTTTAAGGTAAGTTATTATTGGCCTGTGCTGGCCTAGACCATGATCAGTTTCCCTAATTATACTACCTACTCTAGCTGGGATAAAAGGAGTATGGTACCACATCCAACTTTTTCTGGTTAGGTGGGTTCTCCTGAACTGTTTTGCTCAGGTTGGACTAGAATCAGCCTTCTATCATAGCTGGGATGAGAGGTACATACCACCACGTCTAGCTATTGAAATGAAGGTCCCATGAACTTTTTACCTAGGATGGCCTCAAACCATGATCCTACTAATGTCCATCTCCTTATTAGTAGGATTACAGGTTTAAACCCATTGGGACTCAGCTTAATATAATGTATGTGTACATGCAGGTGTGTACATCATGATGTATATATGTCAATAATTTGGGGGAAAAGAGCAAGTTCTAACCAGGTACTGGTGGCTCACACCTATAATCATAGCTACTAAGGAGGCTCACATCTGAGAATCATGGTTTGAAGCTAGTTAGGGCAAGTACGTTTGTGAGACTCTTATCTCCACTTGACCACAAAAGAAAACAAAAGCCAGAAGTGGAGGTGTGGCTCAAATAAGTGGTAGAGCACTAACCTTGAGCAAAATAGCTCAGGGACAGCACCCAGGGCCTGAGTTCAATACCCAGGACTGCACCAAATAACAATAATAATAATAATAAATAAGCTCTTTGGGAAGTTATAATTCTACAAACAAATTTCAGAACTATTGTTGAGGATGCTGTTTAAATATTTTGTATTATTTTCAGTATGATTATACCTCTGATTACTAAAAACCTCTTTCACATGCAAAAAATAACGCCCATTTTTAAAAATGGTTTCCAAGTTATTTCAGACACCATTAAAATAAACTGCTGCAAATCATAGTCCCTTGATAGTCTCCCTTCCTTTGGTCACTCTTCTTAAAAAGTTTAAAATAGGAAAAAGATTGTCAGCCTAACAAGTGTGAGGCCCTGAGTTCAAACCTTACTATTGCCAAAAAAAAAATGAAGTTAAAAAAAATCTTTAAAAATGATTCATATTTCTTATTCTTAGTATAGAACTTCCATACCAAAAATTTAAACTTGAAATTAAAAGTCTAAACCTTCTCACAAGGTTTGTAAAGCTCAGTCTATGAAAGATGACTAAGTCTCGGTGATTTGGCTCTGTATTTTCTTAGAAGTAGAATGGTTTTTGCCTGTTATTTATCAACTTCCATGGAAATAGACACCATCTGGGAAAAGAGACACTCAAAACTGCCTTTAGTTGTTGTTGTTTTTTTTAATTGGTCATGGGGCTTGAACTCTGGGCCTGGGTGCAGTCTGTTAGCTCTTCAACTCAAGGCCAGTGCTCTACCACTTGAACCACAAAACCACTTCCAGTTTTCTGTTCATTAACTGGAGATAAGAGTCTTTCAATTTTTGGTCAAGTTTCAAATCACCTAATGTGCTAAAATAAAATGTACCTGTTAATTCTCTTGTCATATACTTTCCTCATCATACACTTTCAAAAAAGTTAGCTTAATGATCAAATCTGGTAATTAATCTATTTTACTTACTCCTAAAAATTTTTTACTTGAAATTGGTTAATAAGTTTACTAAATATTTTGGGCTGATAGCAAAATAATGACTAACCTGTCAGGTGCTAGCAGCTCATACCTGTAATCCTAGCTCTCAGAAGACTGAGTCCTAATGATTGCACTTTGGAACCAGTCCAGGCAAACCAATCTACAAGACCTTATCACCAATTAATCAGCAAAAAGTCAGAACTGGATATATGCCCAAATGGTGGGGTGAAAAAGCTGAGTCAGAACATGAGGACATGAGTTCAAGCCCCAATATTGGAATAAAAAGTAAATCTTATAAATACTACACAAACTTTATATTACTTTTTCTCATGTAGAATTCTGCAAATGTTAATAAAAGTACATATAAACATCCCACAAGTATCTTTTGTGACAAACAAAATACATTCTGGAAAGATACAATCAAAATTAAGAATATAGCCGGATGCCAGGTGGCTCACGCCTATAATCTTAGCTACTCAGGAAGTTTAGATCTGAGGATCACAGTTCAAAGCCAGCCCGGACAGGAAAGCCAATGAGACTCTTATCGCTAATACACCACCAGAAAACCAGAAGTGGTACTGTGGCTCAAGTGATAGAGAGCTAGCTTTGAGGTGAAGAGGTGAGGGGCAGCACCCAGGCCCAGAGTTCAAGAAGGATGACCAATAAAAAAAAAAAATTCTGCTAATCTATCCTTAGTAAATCTAATAGTGACAGCTTTCCTCCAAGCATTATGTGTAGTTTGTCTCTTATTCTAGAAGCCACATGAAAAAAATTTTAATTAGATGCCTACATAGAGTGGGCTCCTGTGCTCTTATTAAGGAAAACACTTGTTCTCCACTACCTGTTTATTCTAGGCATTCCAATGGAATAGAATAGTGTATGGAATCACCCCAACATTTTCCCTCACCAAATATGACTGAATTCTCATAGATTAAATGTGGAAATAAAAAAAATTAAAAAGAGCCACTATTAGGCTCATGGACTAATGATAGCAGGGATTTATTTTTTCCAAAACTGCATGTTTGCTTCCACTTCAAAGTTTGAAGTTAATGTAGATCTGAATAGCATTTCTAAAAATGGAGTACAAAACAGAGCTCATGACACACTGCAAGGGAAAATTCTTTCTGCAATCACATGCACATGTATACATATGTACTTACCAAGTTGAAATATTGAAATGAACCTACTTTGAATTGCTATTTCTAGCACAATTTTAATACTTCATTTTCTGAGGTGCTAAGATTTTTAGGAGAATAAATAACTAGAAGAATTAATTTTAAAAAGATGTAAAAAAAATGAGGAATTAACTTTTTTATAAAACAACTGGGAGTTCACTATTTCTCCCAATCCTCCTCAAGAGCAGAAGTCTGGTCTGCTAAAGTTTTATGATGTGGGATGCTGCCAATCTCATTTCATTTCACACCGCTGGAATGTCTATGATCAACCAACAGTATTAATATTACAAAATCTCAAGAATCACCATTCTAAGTTAATTAGGACCATGTCTACATTCTTACATCTGCCTAGAGTATTACAATCATCTTCCTAGTAGAGATATGTCCAAGGTCACAAAGGTCAATGCCATGTTGAGCGTCACATTTTAAAAAATGTAATAGCAAGTGTTAAAGTCATGGCTCAAGTGGTAGAGAGAGCCAGCAAAGAAAGCAAATTGAGAAAGCACAAGGCCGAGTTCAAACTCAGAAAGAGAAATTAAATAAAGATGTAATAGTGAATTGATTTAAGGGAAAGTGTCCATCAGACTGTTTTCAACAGACTGACTCCCTTAATCAAAGTCCCTTAGTCAGCTAATGTCATAGCTAGGAGGGGGAGGGAGATAGGGAAAGTGCAGAAAACTTGGGCAAATAGTGTCCTAGCTTATGACTTTACCAAAAGGCTTCTTATCATGCTTTTAAACTCCCCACATGAAGTTTAAGTTACACAAAATTTTTACTTCATTGGTGTCTTTTATTTCTTGCTTTGTTCCTTTGCCAGTGAATAGGAAAATGGAAAAAAGAAAAGGCCAAACACACACAGCCCCTAAATTTCTTTAAGGTATATCCAATTTGAACAAGATTATCCTGTTTTAATAGCTTTGATTCAGCAAAGATCTCCAACCAGAAAAAAAATTACCACTAGTCAATGAATTTCATTGTTTTATCAATCTAAATTGATGATCCTATTCACACACTGGCCCAATATTAAGCAGTTTTTAACTGTTACCTATTTTGAAGACAGTGACTTAAACACCTATAGTTAAGTGATTTGAAGATATAGGGTTGCTCACACCTGTAATTCTAGCTGAGGCTGAGATTTGAGGATCACAGTTCAAAACCAAACCAGGCAGGAAAGTCCATGAGATCCATCTCCAATTAACCACCCAGCCAGAGGTAGAGCTATGGCTCAAGTGGCAAAGCAACAGTGTTGAGTAAAAAAGCTGAGGAACAGTGAGTTCAAGTCCCAGGACTGAACCAGCACCAAAAAATTAAAAAACCTGCTGCTGCTACCAAGCAAAGTAGCTCAATCCTATAATCCCTAATTGAGAGCTAAAAGCAGAGAGATAGAAGGACAGTTCAAGAGTAGCACCAACAATAATTTAAAAAAAAAAAAAACTTTAGAGACTCCTTTCCAATCAAAGTAGAGGTGGGAGGGTCCAGTACTTGCTACCTGTCATCCCAGTACAATGGCTGGGCTAGTGTGCAACTGTCATCCTAGTGACAAGTGAAAGCAAGGATAGGACTGCAGACCAAGCTTACATAAAGCAAGATTCTATCCCAAAAAACAAAAAAAAATCAGTGTAAAAAGAGCTGACAGAGCGGCTCAAAGGGTTAGAACAACTTGCCTCGCAAGTCCCAGAGAGGCCCTAAATTCAATTTTTTTTAAAAAAGGATGTATTGAGTAAATAGCAACATGTAATGTCCTAACCCTGTTAAAAAAAATCTGGTAAAATCAAGAAAAATATGGTGCTAAAGTAAAATTAAATCTCCACGAGCATGAGGACAATCAAGCTCCTCTTTAATACTATCAACACAAAATCTAAAAATATTAGGAAAGTAATGCTTGCGCAACTCATTTAGCAAATGCTTTCTTTCCACAGGCAAGATCACACAAAATGATATTCCTCATTCATAGAGAAGGGAGTTATTATAGTGGGTTAATAAATATCATTATCATCTAGCTTGTGTGAGGTCCCCCAGCCTGGAGATTTCCTAAAAACTAACAATAATTTGAAAATCCTGGGTTTGTGTTTACAACTTACATTGGATAGTGTTAAAAACACGGACAAGTGTGAGTTTGAAAACTGAAAAGTAGCTACTTCATCCATGAATTTTTACCAACAACATGTTTTTTACACTTTCCTCTTCCACCGGTGAAGGCATTCCACTACTGGGTACCAGATACCAAGACAGACACGGTGTGGCCCTGGGACACGGCCTCCGGGATCGTCCATGGGAAAAACAAGCAAACCTGGGGCAAACCAGAGGCACGTCCCCACCCCCCACGCCCGCCCCAGCTCCCACCCCGGGCTGGGCACGGGGCAGAGGAGCGGGAGGGCAGAGGAGCGGGAGGGCAGGACGGGGAGTCCGGCGCCGGTGTCC